ACCAAAATCAGCGATATACTCTTACTTTCTTGCTTAATAAAAACTTAACGTAAAATTAGAACGAGGAAGAAAAGCAATGAATTGAAAAAACTATTAAAAAATTACAACTGCATCCATACACCGGAGAATAAGAATCTTGGATCCAGAGTTTAGACTCTGAAAATATTTTACACAAAAACACTCTTTTTTCAATCGAATTTTTGCTTGAAACAGAGGGAAATCCGCTTGAATTTGTAGATGCTTGGCTATTGATTCGGGCAAAAATCCGATTAAATCAAGATTATTTTTTCATGTCAAATTTGTTAAGAATCTGGACTCTGGATCCCAAAGACTTTGTTTCCAATGTGGGTTTAGTGAGGGACATTTTATTCGGTCGCCATAACCATCATACGCCCGCCATGCTAAGCTATTTTACACTAAACGAATACCTAATTTTCATAAAATTTTCCGCTACTCATGTCCTTTTAAAGTATTCTTAATTTTCTAAAGTTAAAGTACGCTGCACTGAGGATTGGCCCAACAAAGGCTGAAACGCGTCTGCAGTTGCCTTCCTGAATAGTTGTTACTAGTGTTACGCCAAATAGCGTATCTTTTTGAGGGAAAATTGTTCTTGTGTGCGAGCTTTTTCTTCTGTAGTGAGATATTAGCTTTACGCTGAATTTGACGCACGTTGACTAAAAAACTCCAACATACCGTCTCACGACCCGTACTTTCACCGCAATCAGTTTGTGTGTTAGAATGTTGGCTGGTTATCTGTCACAAAATTTCGAGTGAGAAGAAATTCGGCAGCGTTCGGTGTAATTGGGCTCAGTCTGGTTAAATCCCTCCAATTACCCTTGAAAAAACTCGAGCACCTTGTTCCCCAGTCGCAGTCGGTTTGCCGTTATTGTGCCGACGTCGATTCGCCGTCACGTGACGTCTGTTTGCCGTCATTCGACGTCAGATCTCGTCAGTTGACTGCAGTTCCTCGTCGACGTCAGCTGGCGTCGTATCAACGTCCGTGTATGACGTTAGTTTGCCGATGACGGCTTCATGAGCCAAAACGCGGCGCTACAGCACCTCCGTATCAGACTCGTATGCCGTACTAAAACAGAACATCGTATGAGCTTTCCAACGTTGTCAGACTTGATCGAGTAAAATATTTCACTCGAACAAATATCCCGCTAGAACGATTCCCTTAAAAGTTCCAGGAAAACGATCGACAAATGCCTCAGAAAATTCGCATCAGAAGAAATTAGGCCCGAATAGACACACGGCGCGTAAACCTAGTGCCGTAGTATGAGTCTGCTCTGCCGTGATATCGAAGAGAGCCGCGGGTGAAAATTTTCGAAATCGAGTTTTCTTCAAAATTCGTCTAAACTCTTTTAGATGAAATTACTGAGACAGCTAAAACAGCAAAATTCATCCTAATTTAATGAAAACGAGACGTATGAGAAAGCCGTATGTGCACAAAAAACGACAGTTTTTTTCAAGACAGCCGCAGGTGCATGCCAGCCAATGAAAACAGTGCTTTCCAGTAAAATGCCGCCCACTTCTGCCAATTTCTAACCTGAAAATGTGTTTGTTGTGCGTCCCAAACGCAACCACGAAAGCATGCAGTAGATAGCTCTTACGGTTGTCTTGCCTAACAATAACCTAGCATATGAAAATGAAAAATACCCTTTTTATGTAATGGAAATAAAATCAGTCGATTTTAAATCATCCATACGATTCCTAGGAGTCTTCCGGGCGATTAGTGGCAATTTGACAAAGGACGGAGGCTTATTTCAATAAAATGCATCCGGTCAGAAGCTCCTGAGCCCGTTTTCTCAGAACTTCATTTTTGTACTTACGGCTCTCTTCGCTATCACGGCAGTAGGTTAGTCGGGTCTCAATCGTCCAACCCTTATTTTCAGTGACCCTGATGGAGAATCATAGAGCCGTGCAATATGGCAATATTTCCCACATTCCTTCGCGATTTTGGAAAATGACGCAATAAATAAGTAGCCGGCTCCGCCAGTATTCCCGGCGTGTAACTGTCACTCGCAGTCTTTCGCGGGTCGTTTCGCCTCGATCAAACACCGCAGCGCCCTCTGACGGCCGACCCCCTCCCGCAATCCTTTCCTCCGACCGTATGCAAAGGGCGGAAGCGTGATGCCCTTTTGTTTCTTCGTCCTTGGCTCGGGTTAAACGCGAAAAGAGGGAGATTGATAGCGTTCAAATAGCCCCGCTCCGGCGATGGCTGCTCTTATGCACGTGACATGGTAAACTGCAATTATTGAATTTCTTTCTTTCCGTCGCTCTCCTTTTCTCTGTGGAATTGAGTCCTCCGGATTTCCGCGAATTATTGTGACTTGTTGCGTATTTTTGGCGGGGAATGTTTTCGCGTGACTTTATGGTTGCACTGGAAAAAGAAGTCGCTTGGATCTAGAGTCCGGACTTCTAATACCATTGACAGTAAAAAATACTATTAGTTTATTCAATCCGATTTTTCCTTGAACAGGGTGCCTAACTGTCTACAAGTCCGGAATTACCGGAAAGTCCGGAAATAGTACTGATTGTTTTTAAGGGCGCAAGAATGTTGGGCTCACTTGCGAAATTGAACCTTCCACAGGTAAAGATGATATCCTGAAAGTTTCATGCTCTCTTCCAGAAATGCACGATTCTAGGAACTTTTTCCTCTAATCCGCCCTACTACTCTGCCTGACAAACATTTACAACAGAATCGTTCAACAAAAAAACTGTTTGAAGTCTGTAAAACTCCAATTAGTAAATATCCCTAATTTAGCGTCAAAAGTCCAGGACTGTAGCTGTAGGTATATGCTCTACCGAGTATTCTCATTTCCTAACCGTAGAATTGGAACAAAATGCTCTATTTCAGTTCCCGGAAGATGAGAAGAGGACTTGAGAAAGGTCTTTCAAACACACCACGTTTCACGCCGCACAGTGGATCGAGTCAATCAGAGAGGTCGAACATTAAACTTTTGACTAATACTGCAAATTTTGATGTTTATTTCGTCGCATTTTAAATTTTAAGAGGTGCTTCTACAAGAAAATTTTACTGGAAAACCAATGGAACACGTTTAGAACCTCAAAGTTTTGTATGTACGGAGTCATCAGTGTTTAAAGTTTCCAAATTTTTTTCTGACCTCTCCTATTGACTCGATCCACTGTGCGCTACATGCTGTGGATGGGAAATTGCTCCGCGTTTTTCCATACTACACGAGACTTAACCATGTTGTCAGTTCCTCTCGGAAAACATGTCTCGTGTCTGCTACTTGCAAAAAAACTAAGAGAATGTATACTTTCCCCTTTTTGAGGAAAAAAGAGATTATTAATATGAAGTGTTAAGGATTAAAATTGCCAAAATCACTTTCTGTTACTTTCATGGAACCGCAAAAACGTAAAAATTTGAGAAAAAAATTTGATTTAAATCGATGAAAACTTTGTTATAAACTATTTCATGCATCTACACAGAGAGAAATTCCAACATAAAAGTTTGTTTCATACGGGAAAGTAACACACAAAATAGCCCTTTAGCCTTAGGTTGACGATTTCAAGAGAACATACCAGTTAGTTTTTTTGAAGAAATTCAATAAAAAACGAGTGGTGAATACCAAGATTCCAAGTTATCTTGATCCTGGTTTTGAGTTAATTTCAGTCATTTTCGTTGCGCGAATCGTGTTCTATGTAAACATTTGGTCAAGAAACATGTATCAGAATGCCTAACTTCGTACCTTGCCTAGTGGTTTATTGTGTGAAGAAGGAACCCGGTTTTTTCCCCCGTTATCGTAGGCAGTTCAACTTGACAACACCGAGCGAATTTGATTCCCATTTTAATGGTCCAAAGATTAAAAATTCCCGCGTAATTCAGTCGTAGATTTTCGCAGCCAAGGTTTGCTCGGATGAAATCCTCAGAATCCAAGCAATTTTAATAATACGAAACTCTGAAGTGCAGAAACGCTCTAAAAGCCTTTAGCGAGAAATAAATTATTTTGCTCACACGTGCACACTCAAGACTGGTTTTAACTTTCAAAGTGGCTTTTTCATGTCGCTACAAACCCTTAAACCGTCAATGAATGCTCTCTCACTCGTCTCTCAAATTAGTCGCGGAGCTAAATTTCAATAAGCTCAAGCGAATTATTCGATCCGTGCTGCCATTTTTTTTGAGGCTGTGATACCAATTTCACTATCCCGGTTGAAGATTGCATTGATAATTTATTTCGACCTAGGAACTACGTCAAATCCCCAGAAAACGAGATTCATACATACATACATTCGAGTCGCTTTACAGCGCGCCCGGGCGCTCTGCGACACCTAATCGCCAGCCTTGCCTATCGATCCAGAGGTCATCTGGTAAATGGCATCTTGTGATTTCATCTTGAATGACACCTATCCACGATTTTGCTGGACGTCCCCTACGTCTTCTCCCAGGAGGAACCCAATATAGTACCTTCTTAGGCAACCTATCATCTGCCATTCGTTGAACATGACCATACCAGACAAGCTGTTTGGTCATAATTTCATGCACGATGTTCTGCTCGGCGTTCATGATCTCACGGACTCTTTCGTTCCTTACGTGATCTCTCCTCGAGATATATCATCCTAATAAAATCAGGTCTTTGGCTCTTCCTCTTCGCGCTAAAAGGAAAATTTTTGTCGTGCCAAGGAATTGACTCATTACTCCCCGTTGAATTTTAACTTCATCAACAAAAGATTTCTGCTACTTCTGCTTTGATCAAACACCGGCCGTCTCTTTGCGAAATATGTAATTTACTCCGTCGTGGCATTCTATTTTTTGGAGTGAAGATGCAGAAAACTATAGTTTTTTGGCGATTTTCTGTACCAATTAAATTAAGGGATTTCGTGCCCTTTTCTTCCTACATGCTAAAAGGTCGCATTCATAGTAGCTCTGTAAACAGCTAAAGCCTAAAATACGGGAACCAATCAGAAATTGAATCACATTGTCTTTACCCTCAGTATAAAGAGGGACTCTAGGAGCGGAGTGAAAGGAAAAATACCTTGATATCCTGCATCCTGGCGGCGTAAATGTAGGAGTTGACGGTGGACTTGAGGATCATGAGGAAGTTGGCGGCGAAGATGACGTAGAACCTGACTTTGGGCGAGCTGATCTGGAAGAGGCAAGTCGGGCAGACGAGGGTGTAGACAGTGGCCACCGGCAGAAGCCCCAGCACCACCGAGCCCACGATCAAAAGCGTCGTGCAAATGGCCTTCTCGTTCCGCTCTTGCTGCGCTTGCGCCAGCCCGTCCACGGTTCGTTCCCTCTGTCGAAAACAGTGGAATCCCAAAATTAGTCTAGCATTTCTCGCTTTTTTTTTAGTTTTTGGCAATTGAAAGAAACATAAATTCAATTTCAAATAACAACAAATAGTAAATGTTACCATACTTGTTTTTCAGTGCAGAAAAATTTAAGAGTGTTCCCACTGGTTTTTTGTGAAATTCATTTTCAGAAACATCCCTTAAAATTGAACTTGTGATAAAATAAACATAAAATTTGAAATTTTAGCCAAAAATTGTATGTTTGACCTCTCCTTTTAGCCTGTTCCACTGTGCAAGGCTTCTTATTTTTCAACGATTCAACCAGTGTGCTGCAAACACTTGAGCTTTACAAAATGCTCTACAAAAACTATGAAAAAAATTATCTCGTTGGCGTTCATTGAAAACAGCAAAAATTGTAGGAATTTTACATGATTTTTGAAAACTATCCTGAGATTATTTTTATTTTTTTTTTTTTTTGGAAAAATTTAAAAATAAATGCGAATTTCCCCTCACCTGAGAGCGCCTACTTTTAGGGCGCCAACCAAAGCTCAGCCTATTGCGTTAAAAATATAATATTAGCCCAGTTAGTCGACGCCCTCCTCCAATTTCCTGAGAAAAAAACATGTTACGGGTGATCTGGGACACGCTGTATGTGTTTCACGAAACTCCCGATGTAAATTCGACTGGTTTGCTGACTTTCTCCAGATAAATTGAAACTAGATTGTTTAAATTATTTTACTGTATAACCAAGAATCGGTATTTTCTGAAGTACTGAAGCACTAGAACATCGTGTTACTACCACAGTGCTTAATATAAGTATCGCATCTTTCACTTACCCTCGAGTATGAGTAATTTCTTGAATACGTCGATCTGTATTTTCTCCTTGTGGCTTGATGCCGCTTCACCATGAGGTATATGTGGAAATATATTACAGAGATTAATGCTATCGCTACAAAAAGTGTCCACGAAACCATACTCCGATATTTCATTGAGTAGAAAAATCTGTAACAAAGGAAACATTTATATACATTTCAAAATCCTGTGAATTGTTCAGTGCTCAAATATATGCAGTATTTCTTTTCTTTTTTTTTGTTTTGTTTTCTTAACTATTCATTAAGCAGATCAGGTGATAAAATACATAATTATTCAAATTACATATTATAAACCGTCTGAGGACATTACTTCGGGGAAGATAGGATGCAGTGTTATTAACCGCTAAATCCGGACATGACACCTGTTTTCCTCGTAGCGCGCACATGCACATGCACAAGTCTGCTTGGAAATTCGTTTTTTCCGATTTTGATTTTTCTGAAAATCAGTCACGGATTGGAGAAAAACCAACGGTTTTTTTTTTCGTCTTTCAGCGGGGTTTTTTTTCCCCCACGACATTCCACGATTTCTAACTGAAGGTCCTCCGGATTGTTTACAAGGAAGGTTTCTTTACCGTCCTATCACCTCTTGTTGCGGATTTATCATCCAAATAAAATTCGACGAGCACTCTGGGTCCCTGTTAAAGTCTAAACGAAGATTTCGACGCTTTGTTCCAAAATGTCCTGCCAGAACCGAAACATTCAACTTTACCGTAAAATGTTTTACCAAAGCCCCCAAGAATAGCGTCAACAATTTTGCTTCAACAAGAAGTTAAAAACTAGAAATGTTAGTACCGGGCCTAAGAGATTTTAAAATACAATCTACTGCTCTGCCGTGCTGAGTAAGAACGCCGTATGAACATTCGAGAGTTGCCAAATCCCTTCGAAAAAATGTTTATTTTTGCGGAAAAGTATGAATATTCTTCCTTGAAATTTCCAGAGACTTTAGATCAAAATACGAACAAAGTTCTCTGAAAAATTGGAAGGAAAATATTCATAAGTCCACTGAAAAATGCATGTTTTATCAAAAGAAATTTGGCAACGCCTTAAGGCTCATACGGCGTTTTTTCTTAGCACGGTAGTGCTGCGTTCCAAACCTCCAACGCAACGCGGAGAACGAGTAGCTATCATCTCCTCGAGTGGTCTATCTATGACTTTATCTTGCAGTATCACAGTATCGCTTTGATTTCAACAGTGATAACACGACGATTTCATGTCGATCCACTAGATGGCGTACTCGCCATTCTTCATCCTCTCTCTCGAACGAAAAACACATTATGAATTCAATAGGGTCAGCTGAGGAAGATCTACTTATTGGTGTACTTTTAGAAAATAGTACGGTTAATTTTTGAAAGCTCAGTCGCCTAGCGATTGAGTGATTGATTCCAACTTCTCCCTATGTTGTAGTTAACTTTGTGATTCCATGTGCACGTCGACTTTCCCATTTCAGAAAAAAATCGTGGAAAATACTGCAATCTCGGCTCACGAAGGTCTCTCAAACGGAGCAATACAATTTTATGGTGCGATTTCTTCATCACGTGACTCGCGCAACTGACAATGAGCCTTTTCAAAGAGTGAGCAGGATGTCCAGCAACTGGCAAACCGGAAAGTGTCAGGGAATTTTATTTTGCACGCGATTTTTGTAACATGAAAACGTCAGGGAAATCGAAACACACGGATTTTCTGGAAAGTGTTTCGAGAATTGTACTCTTGCGGAAATTTCTACCAGAATTTCTGCTGATGTCTTTTAAATTTTAAAAATGAGGCAAAAATATCTCGCACAAGTTTAGGCCTCATATATTTTGCTCTATTTATTAAATTACATTCCTAAGACCTGAAAAAAATTCTTACTTACATCTCGTCACTTCAAATGTGTCGAAAAATTAAGATTTTTTTCCTTTTAGTCAGGGCAATGTCAAGGAATTATTTTTTCCGTCTGTCAGGGAATTTTAAAGTTTTCCCCGGTTTTTTGACCGGTTTTGTCGGAGAAATCAGGGAAATGTCAGGGATTTTTTCTCTGAAAATTGCTAAACACTGTGGTGTCCGTGGTGTGCTGCAATTGAACGGATTAATGTAGAGCATATCCACACTGCCGTGCTAAGGAAGAACGCCGTAGAGACATTTAAGGGTTGCCTAATTTTCTTTGATAAAACATGTTTTTATGACAACATTCATGCACATTTTTCTTCGAAGTTTTAAGATATTTTTGATTAAACACTTTAGAAAACACATTGGATCTAGAGTCTAGACTCTTGAAAATATTGACAAGAAAAAGGACTCTTGATTCAATCAGATTAAGCTTAAATCAAAAGGAAATCCGCTCAAATTAAGAGGCTTGGTTCTTGATTTAAGCTTAAATCTGATTGAATCAAGAGTCCTTTTTCTCGTCAATATTTTCAAGAGTCTAGACTCTAGATCCAATGAGTTTCTTGTCGATGTTTTTAAGAGTCTGGACTCCGGATCCAATGTGGTTTTTTTTTCAGTGAATTGCGCACAAAATTGTCTGAAAACTTTTGGAGAAAATGTTCATAATTTTCCCTGTAAATTCGGCTTTAATGGAAGGACATTTGGCAACGTCTGAAAGCTCATACGGCTTTCTTCGTAGCACGGCAGCATAGTTTCTGCCACCGAAATCCCGGTTTTCCACGGCCATCGTGTGCTGCGGGGGCGGAATTCCGGTTAATGGATTAGCGGGCGCGAATTCGGAACAAATAAAACAAAGCAAACTATGCCGACCGATGACACGGAAGGGCTAACAAGGGGCGAGGGGCGGTCGAGCTCGGATTTCTCAGACCCAACGAGTCGCGAGTATTGAACCAGGGGGGATTGTTTAACCCCCAACCTCAACCCCCCGGCCCGGTCAAGGAGCGGCCTAGCCACGCTGCCAGTCTCAAACTTCCTGGAGAGCAACCAAAGAGCCTCATTCAAAACCCCCCAAAAATGCCCATGAGTTAAGTTAAACATGTTATTTTGAGATCAGCGGGCCGATTATTGAAATTGATAGATAAAGTTATAGAGAAAGAAGACAAACGGCATTTGGAGAGATCCTATACACGGAGGATGAAACCTCTTGCGTGGGACCCGAAGTTTAGGTCATATGGATCTCTGAAGTTTTCAGATTGAGCATCTGAACACTTAAGGTCTAGATGTCGAGGTTTCGGATCACACATCTGAAACCTCAGTTCGTACATCTGAAGTACTTCAGATGTGAGAACCGAAGTTTTTCGGATGTGAGAACCGAAGTTCTTCGGATGTTTATCGTTATCGGCGTTTATCGGCAATAACATCTCTAAGTGGCAACACTTTGTGGTTTTGAGCGACGCACCCGGAAAATGTCAACTGACCCTATTCCAGCTGGGCGCCTTTGAAAGCCGAATAGCTGTTGAACTTCGTTGGTTTATATCTAGTAATAAGACTGCTCTCTAGATTCTTTAGAAGATGCTCCTTTCAAGGAGAATATTGACGATAGAGTTTTTTACCGAAGAATGTCTCAAAAATATCGTCAGAACATTATTTGAACTAATATGTAGATACTCATCGTATCATCTAACGTTACCCTGTACATTTAATGCAATTCGTTTAGTTTTAGTTATAAACCATGTAGATAGATACAAAGAAATGCTTTTAGTACCTACGTTATATTTAAATAAAATTCCTTCCCCCCCCCAAAAAAAAAANAAAAAAAAAAAAAAAAAAAAAAAAAAAAAAAAAAAAAAAAAATATGTAAGTAACAAAATCAGCAAATGACAAAATGAAAATGAAATTCAACCTCGGTTTCTCACACTTTGTTTTATCAGCTTTGAATTTTTTACAGAAAAGCTACTAGGACGAGTTTAGCTCAGAACTACTCCGAACAATTTTTTTTTTCTCTAAAATGTAGCCTGGTTACAGTCAGCTTCCAGAGAAGTTCCCACGTCAAAAAGTGCGCCTTACTTTTTGTGCATCTTAATCGTTTTGCAGGTGAACTTTTCTTGAGGAAAAATTTCTAACTTTCAGACTTTCAAAACTGTGCTTGATATTGCTTACTCTTTAATTATGATAAACTATTTCTGTTGCAGGTAAGAAAATATACCTCAACTTTCGGCCGCATTCTGTGACACGGTAAGTAATTCGGGTGCATGATTATTGTTCCCGAACTTTCGCTCTAAGTCTTTTAATTATGCAAATTACGCGGGATCCTAAATCATTTAAGTTTTCTAATTATATGTATATATTGTCGTGCTAGAAGGTGTAATTGAGGAACGATAAAAGACCTCAATCAATGANAAAATCAACATTTTTCTGCACAATTTTACAACACTGGTAACGATAGGTAGGCAACCCGCAACAGTCGCTAGTGATGTCACACCATGGTTGCAAAATCATCCTAAAATAATCAACATTTTTCTGCACAATTTTACAACACTGGTAACGATAGGTAGGCAACCCGCAACAGTCGCTAGTGACGTCACACCCGGGTCACGTGACATAGGTCCCGACTTAAAGGTCAAGTGGCGAAACGATAGGTAGGCAACCCGCAACCAGTCGCCAGTGATCTCACACCGGGGTCACGTAGCTGCCGACTTAAAGGTCAAATTTGGGGGTATATCCTCATATATACACTACTTCAATGTTTCCCTGATTTTAATTTTAGTTGCATGAACTAACTACCTCGCAAACTGAAAACTCTTCTTTTTTTAATTTCACGTCTAAATAGGTAATTCTATTTTCCCCATTTAATTGTTCAGGATCAGGATTGCATCGTTAAGGTGGCATTCAACCGTTCTTTATGTCCCGCAATTACGCCAATGAAAACGACGCAAAAAAAAAAAAAAAAAAAAAAAAAAAAAAAAAAAAAAAAACCTGTTAAACTTAACGGTGCAGTGGCTTCATTGAGTTCTAAAATCGGTTGTCAAGGAGAGTTTTGTCCCTTGCGCGGAATTTATTTTGATAAAGGACTCTTAGCAATTACGTGGGGACGACTATGAATCAGTGGCGTGACGTGCTTTGCGATGTATCGATTGATTTACTATTTAAACCTATGTTAAAGAATCGATTAGTAAGGTATTCGCTGCGAACACCCTGTTTATCGATCCTTTTCCATAGTTTTAAATGGCGTATCAATCGATATATCGCAAAGAACGCCACGTCACTGCCATGAATAGGAATGCCGGATGAGCGTGAGACGAGCGAAGGTGCCAGATTATCAAAAAGTCGTTTCCGTTACGAAAAAACGTAAGAGTATTTCGATGTTGCCGAATTTCCTCTTGTAAATTGCATTTTTACCTGGATAATCTTGGACCATGTTAATTGAAAAGCTCACTGATTTTTCTTCTGATCTCGTGAAAAAAAGGAAAAATTTTCGACAAAAATTGCATTGGTACATTGTTGTTAAAAATTGAATTGTTTGAGTCAATGTTGCAACCTTCAAATGGAGTTACGTTCCTTCGTCCGAGAAACGACAAGAAGAGGAAGAGGAAAAAAGTATTCAATACTTTATTACGACGAAAACATGATTAAATTGTCCAAGTTTTATAAGAAAACAGAATCATGATTTCGTTCACTCGCAAAAATAGAGAGCAAATACATCAACAGGGTTGCCACTTTCTTTGGGGACTATAACTGCATATACAGCAAACCTGTTAATGTATTTGCTCCCTATACCTTTGCATGGAGAGTTTGACCAGATGTAGAGGTGGACTTTGAGGATAGCGTAGGATAACTCCTCCATTGCGGCTTAAAGTATTGCGTGATACCACATAACTACTCCGAGGTTTGAATTTTTAAAATGTCAGGAGCGTGACGAGAAAAAAATCGTTTCAGTTCAGACACTATGTTCTGGTTTCTCAACAAATGAAGATCCTTAGGGTTTTATAAGACAAATCTCTATGCAAGTTCTTCAGCAATTTGCAGTCACCTTTTTCTCTTGATAAGAGTCAACATCATACTAAAGCAGTTAAAGGGTTGTCATTTATGCTAAAAAATATTCCGATTTCCCATAAAAAAGGAAGAAAAGAAAGCTGACCCACAGGCAACGAGACAACCATGAGTGGTTATAAATTCTTTCAACTTTCGAACTTGATGTTCCGTCGGGCGGTCAGATGACGCGACGCTCTCTTGAAAAATCGTGAAAGCTCGTCGAGGAGTCGAGGAGCTTTTTCACTCGGCGCGATGCCCGAGGCCCGAGGGAGAGATAAATCTGAATCCTCCAGTTTTGCGGCGGGCAACACTTTATCTGGACCGTAAACTGCATCTTCGTACGCCGTAGCCGAATTTCTTTTTTGGCTGAAAATGAGGTCGAGAACGCCATAGTATAGGAAAGAAAGCTTGACGCTCTCTACACTGACACAGTATGAGCCAATGGCGCAGCTAGGAATTCTTCAAGGGAGGAAGGGGGTCCATTCATAAACGTGACAGTTTTACTTTATTTTGTGTACGTCCCTGATAATATTTTATTTCTGCCCTCCAAAAGTAAAAAAAAGGTACAATTATGATTAACGAGGCTAAGGGGAAGGGGGGTCGTTCGAGAAAACGAGTGGACCATCGTGTTTCTCGCGAAATTTTACGTAAGCAACGGTACTTAAATCGCAAACCCCTCACGCATGCAAGAGCTCTATTTACTACCTCGGAGGTACTCAGAGAAAAAAAGAAAAAAATACTGTCCACAGGGTGTCTAGCATCAGGATTTTTCCGATTCCATCAGGGTTTGAGGTTAATCAGGATTTAATCCAGATTTCATCGGGATTTGAGGAAAAGTCGGCTGTTCGATCGGATTTTTTTATGCTTTCGCATGCGCTTATGCAGACATTTTACTTTTTCTCCGCAAAAAATCAGGATTTGGAAAAAATTTGAAATCAGGTTTTAGCAGTCAAAAATCAGGGTTTCTCAAAGTGAATAAGAAACTAGGCACCCTGGTCTAGGTTTTAAGTTAAAATATACTCAAAGTCAATTCTCGGGAACTTTCCTGGTTTATTCTTTAAATTTGGTTGTTAAACGTTTTCAAATATTTTCAAACATTATTTTGGAAAATTTTCTGCCAGGGATATACGCTGGTTTCGTGTACACTACATAAAAGGCTCAGGTACCTCAGGATATCCAGGAGCTAGTACTTTATACACGTCTCAACAATGAAACTGAAGAACGTGTACTCCTGTTTGCGAAGCCACAGACTTCCTGTCACACTTTGTCCTTTGAATAGAAAAATACTCAACGCCGTTTCCTGAAAACTTCTCTAATTTTCTTATTCTGTGTCCAGAATCGTATATGAAAAGCTGAAGCAACGTCGTTGGTTTGTTATCCTCTGGCTAAATAAAATGGGAGCTGAGATTTTTTAAGGTCACAAAACTTGCACGCGGGCGTAAGATGCGACGATCTTTTACGCTTCAGTTTGGATTTCGCAATGTGTAAAGCATTGTTTGTAGCGCAACTATTCGTGCATAAGAGATGTCTTCGTACGAAACACGATAATTGAAACCGCTTTTGGAAGATCCTCCAGCACTGCCCGCTGGCCGTGCCGCAGGTGAACCGGCGAGTGCGCCAAGACTTCAAAACGCCTTCAATTCTGTAAGTATGCAACGCGGACATCCATGAAGCTCGAATAGTTGCATCCTCACGCTTGCAGGAGCTCCATTCCGCGATTGCGCTGCGCATTCCGTCGAAGCCTCATTTCTTCGGAGCCCCCAACCAGCATTGCTGTGATAGCGAAGAGAGCAGTAAATGTCCAATTTTCAAATCAAGTTTCCTTCAAAATTCATCTAATCTCTTTTAGATGAAATCACTGAAATTGCTAAAACAGTAAAATTCATCTTAATTCCATGAAAACGCCGTAAGTGCGCAAAAAATACATAGTTTCAGGCAAGACAGCAGTAAATGACGTAATTCCTCCATAGAGTCAATGAGAACAGTGCCTTCAAGTATACAGCGCCGCCCTCTTCTGCTAATTTGTATCCTGAAAATGTGTTTGGTGTGTGTCCAAAACACAACCACGAAAGCATGCAGAAGATAACGTTTCCGGATTTTTTGCCAACACTAGCCTAACATGAAAATGAATAATACCCCTTTCATGGAGATGAAATAAAATCGGTTGATTTTTAATCATCCGAACGATTTTTAAGGGTCTTCTGCATGATTGGTGGCAATTTGACAAAGAGTAGAGACTTCTTTAAATAAAATTTTCTGATCAGACGTTTCTGTGCCGGTTTTCTCAAAACTCCATTTTTGCACCTGTTCTCTTCGCTACCAGGGCAGAGCAACCAGCCCGAATCAACCGTTGTTTGGGACTGTCAAACGCGGATCGCCTGACCGGGAATCGAACTCGGGATCTCCTGATCATAGAGCAAGTTCTCTAACCATTATACCACAAGAGGACCTGCGGGCTGATTATTGAAATTGATAGACAAAGCAATAGACAAAGAAGACAAAAAGGATATGGAGGGATCCTATTGGTGGAAGCGGGTTGTTGCAATAGAGAAGGGAGGTAGGTAATAGATAGTTAGTCCATCATCAAGGTACACTCTACTACAGGTATAGACAAAAGGAATTTAGAAAGTCGTCGAAACGCGTAGATTTGACAGCTTCCAATGGTACGACTGCGACGCCATATTGAAAAATTATTTACTTTCTGTTCTGAGAGTGGGTCTCGTCAATCGTGTTATTTTTCGTGTTCTTAGTTAAGTTTTTCGTTATTTTGAGTTTTATCAATTTTTTAAATTCATCTGATAGCTTATTGAAGCTACCAGATCTGCCGGAACCACATTTTGAACTGCACAGCGAAGGCGGTACGACTTGCGACGTCACACGGAGACCTATATTTTCAGCGCTGCCACTTCGACACCCCGTTTGTCCATACCTGTAGTAGAGTCTAGAGTGTACCTTGGTCCATCATTTACCCCCTTAGTCTACCACCCATTTCAACCAATAGGATCATTCTACACTCTTCATGTCTTTTATGTCTATAGCTTTGTCTAAATGTCAATAATCGGCCCTCTGGGTTGAGTTTAGTCTTGGTGATTTACTGTGTGGAGCAGACGGGGGACTGGAAGCCCTCGCCCTCGAAGCCGTAGGTGAAGACGAGGAGGAAGATGGCGGAGGGGGCGAGCCAGATGACGACGAGGCAGAAGGAGATGTTGCCGTGGGTGACGATGGAGGGGTAGTGGAGGGGTCGGAAGGTGCCCAGGCAGTGGTTGATGGCCAGGAGGACGAGGTGGGCCGTCGTCGTGCAGAGCCCGCCCAGCCGGAAGGCCTCGACCAGGAGGGCGAAGCAGTCCGAGGCCTTGATCCCGTGCACCCGCGGCAGGTACGAGTTCACGAACAGGCCGAACCCCAGGTTGAACGAGGTGAACATGTCCGACCCTGAAACAGCAACATGTCAAACGTGAAAAACCGAAGGACACCAAGTCATTCTTTCCAACTTTCAGAGAACCAAGAAGTCCGTTGACTACGCCAAAAATCCTACACTTTTTATTTGGAATATGCCGCTTTCACTGCTTTCGGGGCTCATTGGTGGTAGAGTATCTATATAGGGAGAGTATGGACAGCTCGAAATATGTAACTCTTAGGGCCCAAAAGTGTAGGTAACCTTTGAAGACGAAAAATGTCACTGTCAATCTTTGAACTCCAATCTCTTCGAGGGATTCTTTTCAATCATATATTTTTAAGTTTTAGTCTATTTTTTTTCTTTTTATGAATCGTTCTCTTAAATAAAAAAATAAAAAAACCATATTAGGAGCTGAAAACACATGACCCCCAACATTTTACATTTGCCTATTTCTTCTTATCTCATCGATTTACTTAAACATTACTGATTGCTGGTGCTTTTATCTCAGTTTTGTCAAAAAGAATCATTCGTTAGCTTCAAATATGTCTTAGGGAGCGTTTCTTCGAGGGTGCAAGCATATACACCGGAAAAAAAGGTCGCTTGAATCTAGAGTCCAGACTCTTAATAACATTGACAAGAAATAATACTCCCGATTCAATCCGATTTTTCCTTGAATCGAAGAGCCAAGCCTCTTGATTTAAGTGGATTTCCTTTTGATTCAAGCAAAAGTCCAATTGAATCAAGAGTGTTTTGTCTTGTCAATGTTTTTAAGAGCCTGGCCTCTAGATCCAACAGACTTTTTTTTTTTTCCAGTGTAGCAGCACGAGGGCTAACCCTCTTTTATGGTCTAAGCAGAAACAAGAGACCCTCCACTGGCCTCTTGACGACAGGTGGAAGCTTTTACTTTCGGAGCTTCAACACTTCCTTTTGGAAAATCATAAGAGAGCAACAGTTATCACTCTTTTTTCGGCTGTTGACCTACCTACTTGGTGGGTGATGAGCTCCGGGTGACGTCATGAGCCAAACAAGTTTCCCAAACGTCGATAAGTTTGCAAAAGGAAACCCCCAACGCCCCAACGCGTTGTTAACCATCAACCAAGGAGGTAGGTCAACTGTTGAATGTTGAAGGCCCAAAAGTAAAAGTTTCCACTATTGCCAAGATACTAGTGGAAGGTCTCTTGTATCCAGAGACAAGAGACCCTCCACTAGTATCTTGGATATTGTGGAAGCTTTTACTTTCGGGACTTAGCATTCTAATGTTGACTTACGTACATGGTTGATGTTTAACAACGTGTTGGCAGTTTCGTTTTGCAAACAAGCCGAAAATGGCCGACGTCTGGGAAACTTGCTTGGCTCATGACGTCACCCGAAACTCATCATCGACCATGTAGGTAGGTCAACAGCCGAAATTAGGATGATTACTGTTGCTCTCTAATAATTGTCCATAAGGAATTGTTGAAACCCCGAGAGTAAAAGCTTCCACCTGTCGCTAGGAGGCCAGTGGAGGGTCTCTTGTCTCTGTTTGTCTCTGAGTCTAAGCGATAAAATGAAAATGAAGGCGATTCTCCCGCATCATTTACCTGCGAGGCTGAGAGTGATGTGGAGGGTGGGCGAGATGGGCTTCTGGATCCAGCAGACGGAGAGGAGGAGGACCATGTTGAAGAGGACCGAGGCCAGGCAGAAGAGAACCATGAACGGGACGAAGATCATGTACAGCGTCAGGAGCTCGTCCGTCGTGGTCCCGGCCGTGGGGGGCGGGCCCCCGTCGGCCCCCGCCCCGGCCCCCTCGCTCAGGTTCAGCCAATCCCCGAAGAGGCTCGTCAGGTTGAGGCTCAGGCTCGCGTTGGCCGCGCCCAAAGGCAACCGGTCCTCGTCGTACGGCTCCATCTGAGGCCAAGGCGAGCCGCCCTGGAAACAAAGAAGGAAATTAACAGGATTCTCGAAGGTTTCGAACATGTTTAATGTTCAATTGGACGTATTTCTGTCAAACGGAACTAAGCGCCAATTTGAGTTTCTTTTGAGGAATTTAGAATCCCGGATAGCGCGTTCTGTCAAACGGACCTAAGCGCCATGGAAAAGCATTGCGAGTATAGGACGGAATAAGCCGGACGCCCGATTCCGCCGCCAATCCAAGCCCCCCTCTACCTTCCTCACCCTATGGCGCTTAATTCCGTTTGACAGAAATACGTCCAATTCGTAATTTCTTAGCATAACTTACTCTACAATATAAAATCGCAAGATAGAGTGCAAATCCGGGAAAACCAGAAAATACCTAGAAATTCGATGTTATCAGGACAAATCAGGAAAATCTGCTATGAATCAGGAAATTCTGGGTGCCGCGAGCAATTTTCAAGCATTTTTCAACTTTTGATTCATTTCATGAAATATGTTGACTTTTTCAATCGAAGGATTGCTGATTTAGTCGCGCATAAAATCAGCAGTAGCGAGGCTTGAATGGTCGATTATCGATATTTCTCCATTTGAAAGTATGGTAAAGAATCGATTATTAAGGTGTTCGCTGCGAACACCCTGTCTATCGATCATTTCCAATAGGTTTAAATGGCAAATCGATCGATTTATCGCAAGGCACGCCACGCCACTGAAAATCAGAAAATCTCGTTTTAATATCAGGAAAAATCAGGAAAATCCCAAATAAAAACCGGGAAAACCGGAAAATACCTAGACATTCCATGTTATTTGGAAAAATTAAGAAAATATCAGGAAAATCAGTTATAGATCAGGAAATTCTGGGTGCCTCAAGGAATGTTCAAGCATTTTCCAACCTTTGATTAAATTCATTAAATATGTTGATTTTTTCAATCAAACGATTGTCAATTTATTCACGCGCATAAAAGCAGGAAATTTCGTCTAAAATATCAGAAATAATCAGGAAAATTTCTGGAAAATTTGAGGAAAATCCCCAATAAAATTTTAGCAGACACCCTTAGAAAATGAAAGCACTCTCGGAAAATAAACTGAACAGGATTTCGAAAGGAACAAAATATATAAGCTAAATCATCAGTGGTAGCGTTATATGTATTACTATTATTGAAAACCCCGAGATATTTCAAATATTAATCCTAAATAAGACCACCTCTCACCTCGTTATCTCTAATCGCACCCTATTACCTCGTAAATGTTTAATAGAAATTGGTCTTCTTGCAATTTCCTTAAGAGGCTTTGGAGTGCCAACCTCCCTCCGGTTTTTGCCCGGATTTCTGAATCGTTATCGAACGACTTTGATCGATAGGGTTTTATCGATGAAGGTCATTCGACAATAACTCAATAATCGACCCACTCGTTGCCTCCTTAAGTCAGCTTTGAGGGAAGTAGCTGATCGAATCGGTGCTCAGAAGGCGCGTTTGCGGTCATCACGTGGTTCTTCCTGTGGCGCACAGTGGATCTACTCAATAGGAGAGGTCAGACAAATTTGGAAACTTTAAACGCTTATAACTCCGTTTGTAAAAAATGTTGAGGTTCTAAAAGTGGTTTCACTGGTTTCCTCGTGACATTTTTCACTGTCATCACTCCTTGAAATTGAAAATGTGACGAAGTAAACATCGAAAATTTCTTGTCCAACCTCCCTGAATGACTCAATCCGCTGTGTGGCGGGAGGCACTCAGGTGTTGATTGATTGAGCTGGTAAAGCCACGCTTTCACAAGAGGTGTGTGAAGCGAAGCAGGGAAACAAGGGGCACGCTAGCATGCCATTTCTTCAGGAAAGATAAAATAGAAGAGGGATGAAAAAGTAGATAGATCGAGATTGAAAGTATCCCAATCATGGAGTATATCTCTCTTGAGGAATTCCTGATGAGTCGGGAGAATTTAGGGAGTCTTGTCACGGCAATTTTTCCCTAGCCTGAACATGGCTTTTTTTTGTTGAGATACTTGGCGCTCAGAATAATGGGCCTGTTGCAAACTTTTGCTAGAGCAAAACTAAGAGTTGTTTCTTATAGATAATGCCTCAAAAATCACGATGAGCGCATCGGCAAACTCTGAAATGCACTCATAACTTCACAATCTGCGTAAGAAATTTGCGGTTTTTTAAGCTTCCCGCTTCAAAAACGATACTACGGCACAGGTGAACATTTTGTTAGAGGAGTCGCTCCATCGTCGGCGATATTCATCATGGCCGACGCTTGCACGCAGTTCCGCGCGTAATTCAAGGAGAGTTCAAGGTCAATCAATTCGGGCGTGGTAAATATGAACGTTAACACACCGATTGTTATCTGGTCTAATCCAGTTCAGGTGTTATCTCGTCCCATCAAACGTGTTTTGGCGGATTGGCGTCGGCCATGATGATTATTGCCGACGATGGAACGACTCCTCTTACAAAATGTTCACCTGTGCCGTAGTATCGTTTTTGAAGCGGGAAGCTCAAAAAACCGCAAATTTCTTACGCAGATTGTGAAGTTATGAGTGCATTTCAGAGTTTGCCGATGCGCTCATCGTGATTTTTAAGGCATTATCTATAAGAAACAACTCTTAGTTTTGCTCTAGCAAAAGTTTGCAACAGGCCCATTGTTAATTTGTAGACGTTTTATCAGATATGCTGAAAAAAAACAATGGAAAGCCAAAGGGCCGGATTAAGGGGGTGGCCACATGGGCCGCGGCGCATGGCGGAAAATCTAGAGGGCGGTAAATTTTGCATTTTTTTTAAATGTAGGTATAAAAAAATATCGGATTTAGAAAGAAAAAATACAAACGAGAAATGGCGACAAAGTCTCTCATTTCCTGAGAGTGCAGTAATTTTTAATTTTGTCGTCTTTCAGTGATACAAGGGCAGCACCTTTAATTAGTCGAGTTAAGAGAGAAACCAGACACGCAATTTGGCCTGGAACGGCGCGGCGCCGAGAGCAATGATGACGAGGACTTGAGATGAAAAGGAGAAGCCATCGGCGCGGCGATCGGCATGTAACACATATCAGCGCCCACAAGACTGCACGAATACTTCACGCATTGCATCAAACACAGTGCGGTCATTGCGGTCAGCATGAAACGGATAGCGCCTACAAGAATGCATGAATACTTCACGCAATGCGCCAAACACGGTGCCGACAGCGTGAAACGCATGGCGCCTACAAGACTGCGTGAATACTTCACGCATTGCGCCAAACACGGTGTGGTCTGCGCAGCGCGGCGCGCGGCGGCGGAAGTTTTTTTTTTTTTTTTATTAATTAAAAAATTGTACAACTAGCCCCTGACGGGGCTATTAATTACATTTTTTTTAAGTTTTATACTTATAACTAAAATTTAACTAAAGCTAAATTTTTTTGTATTAGCAATTAACCATTCATACCGAACATACCAAATGTCTGTTTCTTTGACCCTACGCTATTTCCTTACATTCAAACACCATGCATACTGTAATATGGAGTACTAGTATGGGTAAAATAAAATACAAAAATGATTATGCAAATAAACAAAATTACAAAAATTAAACAAAAACGGCGGAAGTAAAAATCATTAAACCACGTTCATGTGTGTTCTTTCACAATTTTTTCGTTCATTTCTTATGATCGATTCTCCCCTTCATTTTGGCCTCAACTTGAGAGCTGTTTTTGAGCTTGGAAGATGATTTCAGAGAAAACCAGTAGCACCATCGTGTTTCTCGCGAACTTTTAATAAGAATCAACAGTCAAATCGTTAATTCCTCACACATGCAACATCTTCATTGTGATTATAAATCACCCTGGATAATTTGAATTCCTAGATTGCCTACCCTTTCGGGCCCTAAGAGTTCCATCACCTAACCTCAAAATTTTCGACTTGTCCACACTCTCCCTATACAGGGTGATCCAAAAGTCCCTTCCACCCCCTCTAACTTTTTACCTAATTGAGGTAAAGATTTGAAACTTGGGGGATGTTCCTAGGTCAAAGGGAGCTACTTTTTGGCCCCCCTAAAATTTTCAGGGGGGCCCCCCAACTTTTAATTTTCAAATGGAAAGACCCCCTTTGTGATACCTCGTTCAAAAGAGCATAAAAAAAGAAAACTTTTCGCGCAAACCCGAAGTCAATATCTCAAACCGTTTCAAAATGGCGGCCGGTTAAAGTTCAAAATGGCCAAAAATTCACACCGGTTATTTGTCTATGGATTTGCTCGAAAATCGGTACGAAGGGGTATTTTGACACGAAAAAAAACGAATTTGACGTTAGATTTTAAAAAAAAAACCGAAATTTCCAAAATGGCCGCCGGTGAAAGTTTAAAATGGCCGAAAATTGTCACCTCGGTTTTTTGCTGATGGATTTGCCTAAAACTTGGAATTTGAGAGTAGTTTGGCATAAGATAAACAAATTTGAACTAAGATTTCTAAAAAAATCAATTTTTGGTCATTTTGAACTTAAACCGGCGGCCATTTTGGAAATTTTGGTTTTTTTGACAATCTAACGTCAAATTCGTTTTTCTCGTGTCAAAATACCCCTTCGTACCGATTTTCGAGCAAATCCATCGACAAATAACCGGTGTGAATTTTCGGCCATTTTGAACTTTAACCGGCCGCCATTTTGAAACGGTTTAAGATATTGACTTCGGGTTTGCGCGAAAAGTTTTCTTTTTTTATGCTCTTTCGAACGAGCTATCTCAAAGGGGGTCTTTCCATTTAAAAATTAAAAGTTGGGGGCCGTTGCCCCCCCAAGGAGGGCCCCCCTGAAAATTTTAGAGGGGCCAAAAAGTAGCTCCCTTTGACCTAGGAACATCCCCCAAGTTTCAAATCTTTACCTCAATTAGGTAAAAAGTTAGAGGGGGTGGAAGGGACTTTTGGATCACCCTGTATAGGTACTCTACCTACAGGCAACTTTAAAATCATTGCACCCGGTCGCGCGGCTAGTTCGGCGTCGCGCACTGCCTAGGAAACTGAACCTTCACGCACGACCAGACACGCTCACGCTCAGTGCTCTTTTGCTTTAAA